GCTGTTTTTCTCTCTTCTAGTGAGGGGCCGGGGGGGATAAATGCACCATTCCCCTCTGAATATTTATTTATTTTAAAATTATGTCCTGACTCTTTAGCTGAAAACATTTCTTTATTCACACAGGAAAGGTTGTTCTAGCAACTCCCTGCAGATAGATGACTGGTGGCATTCCACAAGTCTCCCGACTCAGTCCACCGATTTTTTTTTTTTTCCGTATACAGACTATGAATGTCTAAATTGTCTGGTGTTACAGTAGAAAACTAGTGGTGCTTACCAACTTTCAATCCTAGGTTCACGCTACAAAATGCAAAAACTGGAGATCCAGTAGGAACACTCGAAACGATACAGGGGTTTATGACTGTCCTGACATATGACGTTTCAAGACTTACAGGGGGCATGCTACGAATGTATTTAGTTGACGGCGGGCTTGGCTAACCGCCGTAACTTAGTGTTCATCATTTAGTCCACGACATCAGGACAGAACTCCAATGCAAACCAAGGACTTTATGCTGCTTTATGGAATAGGACCATATATGGAATGCTCAAATGTTGGCAGGTGGGAGGGCGGGGTACCTGCTGGCGTACTGCTCTATCCTGGAATGGGTGTCATCATGGGATAAGTGAGGTGACTGGGACAGCCTGGAGACGAATGGTGTAATTGAGATGAATGAATTTGGGTGAGCGACCAAAACCTCATTTAAAGGATTCATAGGCACACACACACACACACACACACACACACACACACACACACACACACACACACACACACACACACACACACATACATACACACGCGCATCCACAACCCAGCATGACCATCCGCAACGTCATTCCGCAAAAGGAATGGGGGAATGGGATGATCTATGAGGAGACCGAAGGGCTTTCGGCAGCCGCTGCTTGGAATGCTTTCAGGAAAGCAAGTGAGCAGAGATGTTGGCGTCGCGTGCACAGTCAAGTGTGGATGAGTCAGGCAGGCAGGCAACATGCAATTCATGCATGGCTTTAGTTGAGGTGAGGCGGGAAAAAGGTCCCGGATGACGTGTAGTTTGTTATAAAATAAATCAGTACTCAAAATTAATTAAAGGACATTCCGGTACTCGATTGTAGATACTCACTCGTACTGCTCCGGACACATGCTGATGAGGGTGACGGGACTGTAAGAGGAGGGGGGGTTGTGTTGAGGGGGTACCACAAAACATGTCTAGGTCAAATCCACTCAGTGTGCCTCACAAAACACAGCAGGTGAGGGAAAGAGGGAAATAAGGTAGGTTCGGTAGCACATGATCGTAAAAGTTAAAAGCCTCTCAGTGGGTTCCTGGGTTTTTTTTCCACACATTGCTGCGTGACGATATGAATCAGCCTTGGCGCCGGTTCTACATTAAGGAGAGCGACGGTGCAGCTGCAACAAACATTGTGCCGAGGCATAATTAAGCAAAGACACGGGAGAGGAGAGAAGAGGGGAATGGAACACTCCTCATCTGCTGGTGCACGGGGGTGTGAGGAGATTTGTTATAAAAATGCCAGATGTTCATTTTTTTTTTTTAAACAGTTTCATCAACCATACGCCACAGTGCAACCTACAAAATGCAAAGGTGGTTGTGCTTCCAAGATTGAATTTCATTCATATTTTTGTCATGGGAAATACTGTAAATATAAATAAAAAAAATAAAGCTGAGCAACGGACCGAAATGCAATTTTTTAAAATTTTCCAAAATTACAGGCTTTGCGATTTAAAAATTGCATTCTACTACTTTGTGATGTCAATTAGAATTTGATTAGCTGTGCGGCCTTCGATATAACGATCATATAAGTTGGTTAAACTCTGAATTTCCACTTTGTGGGAACCACTGTGACAGTTCTGCCTGTGGCTGCGTTGGTCATTTTTAAGAAGAACTCTTCAGTGGCACTCACCTTTCCATATTGTCGCCCTCGAGGACGGTCTGGACCGGTAAGTAACCCAGTCGAGGGTGCTTGGCGAAGTACTTCTTGGAGCGGAATTTGTTCTTCAGCACTTTGGTAAAATCTCGCATGTCCTCGCCCGACGTCGTCTGGCGGAGACAAAGGGTTACCGAATTTCAATGGGGGGTGGGGGAATATGGATCGCTCAAAGTTGACGGGAATGGAAGTCTTCAGCTGTCTTCGCAACACACATCAAGTAGTTTGGAAGAGTCTTTAAAAATAAAAACTCTTCAAGCTGTTTATTCCCACTCAGTTGAATTTAACTGTCAAACTAAACCTAAAACAAAGAGAATTGCACGATGTGCATTCAAATCAACCCCTTAGTATAGCCTTTAGTCTGTTAGCTTAATGGTAATGCTAACACATGCTCCACGTTATTTTTGTTGTTGTTCAAGTCTCTCTGTGCAACGTTATAGGAAATGGTCCAAGTATCGATTTTAACTGCACGAGAGGTAAACGCCGAGCCGGCCCACTCTGTAAAACAAGTCTTCCTCCTCCATTAATCTCATGGCACACTTTTCCCTCCGTGACAGTGACAAGTGGCGACTGCTCAAGGAGCCCATGTGGAGCTCCATGCGTCGACTGATAAGGTCACGTATTGTTTTGGGGTTTTTTTCCTTCCCCTGATTCCATCAGCGGACTTCATCAGGCTTGCCGGACTGCTATTACTAGCCCAAATACTCTCCCCAACGTCGGCGCACTGATTGCTACCCGTCGCGTGCACTGGCAAAAGAGAAGCTCATCAGCGTGGCAGGAGCGAAGACGAGCGTGCTTTAAAGTCACTCGGCGCAAAATGACACAGGCTCATCTAGCCGCAGTCAATATTAATCACATTTGCAAAATTGAAAAATCAGATATATTAAAAAATAACAAAACATTTGATATTGGAATTAGTTTGCCTAATTTGAAGCTCAATTTCAAAGAGGCCATGGCTTATTTTCACAAATGTACCTTTGATGACATTCTCCTCGCTGCACAGAAATTGCATTCCGTGATAAATAGAAGAAAAATGAGTATTATTTCATGATTTCTTCAGGGAAATTTGAATTTGATCAGAGGCGGTCACCAGTATTGATGGAACGGTAAGCGAAAAATTTTAAAGCGCCACGACAGCTCTATTAATGAATTTGAATCCCTTTCAGCTTAATTTTAGTCAGAGTAGTTCATAAAATTGTGCTGCATAATATGGTTACAAATGTGCTATTTTGTCCCAAAAATGTGCATGTGTGTGCGTCTCACCGGCGTGCAGTACTCCACCATGGGATAATTGAGCTTGTGACCCTTGGCGGTGCGCCCGGAGAAGAAGCAGCTCTGACACACGTCGTAGTTGAAATGCTTCAGGCTGCGATACCTGAACATACACACACAAAAAAATAAAAAATAAATAAATAAATAAAAGGAGTGTCAGGACAAACGTCAGGCTACTTGCAGACATTAGACGACTTGCCAACTCTTTTTCAGATGACCATTAAAGTGATTTTTTTAAAAAAAGTACAACGAGAACAACAAAAATGTTTGGAATTAATGTCAATAAAAGACGTATCTTATTCAATTGTGATGTTCTCTTAAAAAAGACATGGCTGGTGCAGCTCCCGCCATGGTGCTCGATTGCCTGGCCACCTTGCACGCGTATCCACACGCCCACAGAGCCGAACAAAAGCATCTTACAAGCGCTGACACAGTGACAGACAATTGCATTTCCGCTCAAAACGCTTCTCAATAGGACAACACCTCCATTCTGGTCAGGCACAGCCAGAAAGCCATTTAGTGGCTTGAAAAAAAAAAAGAAGGACATAATAGCCGGAGTCCTTTATCTCAATCCTCTGCGGGGACTTGGCTGACGGATGAGCCCTCACACATCGTATATCACGGAGCTCAACTGCTTCGCACGAGTCAAAGACACCATTATGCGTTGCGTCTAGTCATGAGGGGGGAGGCGTTCAGTTACCTTCAGAGCGGGATGGGCTCACACGCCACCTTGAGTCTCAAGCTCACCGGCAAACACACCACTGGGACATGTGCCACAAAAATGCAGGGCCAGCACTGTGGTCTATTTATATATCTTCAAGTTGGCAGGATGGAAACAACGGGGCTTTATTAATGAGAGAGAATGTCCAAAGTTCAAGTGCAATGTGTAACACGACAGCATGTCTGCAATGGCGAAAAGCTGGTCATGTATCAATTTTAGCTCATTTTATAAATTGATACGAAAGCTGCGAAGGCCACAATTCACACGGTCACGCAACATGCAGACTGGCTGAACCAACAGGCATTTCTGGGCTCTCGTGTGGCGACGCCCACGTCACTCACAAGGAAGGCCCTGCCTTTGAAAGCCATAGACAGTCAAACTCTCAATAGTTGAAGCCCTATATTGCACGTTTACTGTATTTTTGGTCCCTTATGTATGCCTCAGCTACTCAATTGGTTCGTTTTCAACCGCCAACAGCAAACTAAATTTCGGTTGAAAAAGCTCCCCGAACCTGGTCCAAAACCGAGACTGTGATTTCCTCAAGGCTTACTCCGCACTCTCCTTGCTCCTGTCATCGATCAGTGACATGACTTCGGAGACACTTGATTCATCAACCGATTTGTCTGGTTTTCGGTTGAAAGAAGACCAGTTCACCACAGGGCATCTTGGCACGATGTTACAATTCCGCAAAATGGAAAATAAATAAATAAATAATCGAACCAGAACAAAACGTGCGTGTGTGTTATGGGTTGTTGGCCAACATCGTGTGTGAATGTACAAACCCTGTGGAGGTTTAAATGATATTTAGTGAGTGGTCTGGCCTCTGCTGACATTTAGATAAATGCCCACCAGAGCAGAGCTGCCCTTTATGATTATCAGCAAACACCAGCGTGTGTGCGTGTCTGCCTTTGAACTGCGCACACCCACACAGCCACACACCCGCCCACAAACCCACACACAGACACACGCAACCTCCATTTCACAAAAAGCTCCCGGCTCAGTGCAAGACGCGTACCTGAAGCCCACAATGGGACACTCCTTGCAGATGTTGCACTTGGCCTGATGCTTGGCTGTCTCGGCGGCAGCCACTCGGTGCAGGACGGGGAGCCACACCATGGACTGAGGCTCCAGACGCATCCAGTCCACAAACTGCCTGGGCTCCAGTTCCACCTTATTGGTCGCCTACCAGACAAAGGAGGACATGGACGAACTGTGTTTGGTAACTTGTCAGGGATATGACCCAAAAAAAAAAAAAAAAAAAAGCTCCAGGCTATTAATTGCCACTCCCATTTGAAGTTTACTGTCAAACTAAACATCAAACAAAGAGACGTACACACTGTGTATTTAATTTAAAGCAGCTAAATAACTTTACCTTTGGGAATGCTACCTTAATGCTAACACATGACAGAGTGTTGTAAACTTTGAAGAACCGAGATTGACCACCTTTTGTTTGTTTGTTTAAAGACGAAAATGAACCAATCTGAGAAGGCCGTTCATAATAATGTCAGGGAAGAATTCCTGCCCCCTGGTCCAGCCAAAAAAAAAAATCAAACATAACCTTTCTGACACTGACAACAAAACAACAAAAGGGCAACAAAAGGTTGCAGTAGTTTTCAACTGAATCAATTGTGAATCTTTTAATTCTTGTCAATATTCCTGAATAAGCACAGCGATTTTTCAACTTTCAGCACGTTTTCCGTCCTTGCCATATATAATTGAGCAGTGTAAAGTGGATTCAGTAGAATTCATTGGACAAATAAGACAGGCACTTTAAAAAAGGGGAAGAAATTGATACGGTATATGGGCTCAATAAGTGCCCCAAAGGCCAATGAAAAAATAGCAGCCACACCCCAGTTTTCGCTATGCAGAGTCCACATTACTCAATCATAAATCCTCTCCACACTGACGAATGGAAAAAAAAAAATCCAACGATCAATATCTTTTGAACTGACTCGATGTCTTCGCGCGCTCAAGTCAGAAGTATAGAATTACGATGTTTACACACAAGCTACCGCAGCGTGAAGGGGGTGACCCCCGATAAGACAGATGGACGGTTAAATGGAAGCCAGTGACAAAAGTACAGTCAAGGAAGCCAAATTTATCGCCGTGCTATGCATTCATCATGAGATCGTTAAAGCAAATGGATAGGACGTCATTGACGGGACGGACACAGGTGTCACGCAGCGCCTGCGCTTGTGTGTGTGTGTGTGCAAAAAGTTTCAAGGAACCAACTTAGTTTGATGATTGAATGACTTATGCACGACTGCAGCACATCTGGCGCGCCAATTCGGGATGGAGCCAGCGTGCTATTTATTTTGTGCGTGTGCATCCACAGGAAAAAAAAAGGAGAGAAATTTATCACCTCACCCCAATTTAAATGCCCACTTCCCGGAAATGAAACCGTGGCGGAAGAGAGCGAGAGCAAGCAGGAGAGAAAGAGGAATGGACGCGAGATCCCCGAGGGGATAAAGACATCGTTAAATGCCAGGAACATCCAATGATAAAGCTGCTAAATTGATTCGCTGGCTGTCGTAAAGCAGCGGGGAGGACAGGCGGCAGCTGACCGCAGGCCATGAGCGGCTGTGCGGTTGGTCAGCACGTCTTCAATATTCTAGTCCTTCTTTGGCTTTGAGGTGGTGACGCGGCGGAATAGAAATGAGCTGTGATGAAGATGCTTCACTACTGTCTGCTACTTCCACTTGACTTTGGGTGAAGTCAATTGATTCCCCGCTTTGCATCCCACAAAGCATCCTCCAGTATGCAGCATAAATGTTACAATCTGAGGGCCTTTTTTGTTTTTTATTAGTCTACTAAAATGTTTTTTTTTTAAATGCACGGCACGCCAGCGTAACCCGTATGTTGTAACATGCTGCGTTCTTACGTGCTGGAAGCAGCTGCGCACGAGTACGCAGCATAAATGTTACAATCTCAGGGGCTTTTTTTGTTTTTTATTAGTCTACTAAAAAAAATTTTTTTAAATGCACGGCACGCCAGCGTAACTCGTATATTGTAATATGCTGCGTCCTTACGTGCTGGAAGCAGCTGCGCACCCGCCGACGCCGCCTGACTGAAGAGATCTGCGGAGGGATGGACAGAGGAAGGTATAAGGCGAGAGGATCTTCTCCGTGTCTCCATTTTCTGTTGCGTTTGTCCTCGCAAGAATCGTTTTGTGAATTTTATTCAACATGTGCAAATTTAAATTGTGTGTAGTCAACGACAGACCACCCGATCACAACTTCTCCTTGGCCCCACAGGCCAATAGAAAATTGTCACATAGTAGGCACGCCCACTTGTTGCTAGGTAGACTTCATAGGGCTCAATTCTGACGGCCATCAAGGCCAATGAAGAAAATTATCATTTGCTTCCATGGTCACATGTTGCTAGGCAGAATTCACAGGTCAAATGGATGAAAATGCAATATATCAGCAGTCCTCAACTTGTTAGCAGGCAAAATTCGACCTGCCCCCAAAGACAAATGGGGGTGGGGTGGGGGGAGGGAGGGTTTTCACCAGTCATGCTGCCTGCCTTGTTGCCAGGCAGATTTCATGGGCGCAGTTATAACTGAATAACGGGCTAATGAAAAAAGAAAAAAAAAGTGCCATGCCACACTGGCCCATTTGTTGTCAGGCTGAGTTCATTGAGCTTAATTACAACAGAAACCCATCTGATCTGTATTAAATACAAATTCACAAGAGAACATCACATTTCCAAAAATAAAAGGCCATTGTGCGTTCCTCACATTTCTTCTGACAGAAACTACAATAGAGTGCATGAACTAAACCATGCTAACCTCTCACAAGAGTCTTTCCTCTTGAAGAGAATCACGGTGATTGATTTTAGTGGTACTTTTAAAACATCTCTCACACACACACACACACACACACACGCACGCACACGCACACAAAGAACAGAGACAAAGGGCATGACAGCTTTTCGTGCTCTGATTAAAGCTGACTTCAGCCCCATTTCCCTCTTTCCTGTAAGGCGTGTGTGTGACTTCCTTTCTCCACACACACCACTTTATGACATCAAACCTATCAATACCAATGTGCTCGCAGATATCGTTTGACACAGCCGACTATGTGTGTGCGCGTGTGGGAGCAATTTCTGAGCCAATGAGAGTGCGGGGAGAGAGGAAAAATGCGATCAGGCGTGGATGATCCCCTTCGCAGCCTAATAGAATGTGCCGAGGGAATGCCGAAGCTCAGGGACAGAACATTTGACGGAAAGGCATGTGCAAACGGGAGGAAAAGGAGGAAAGGGAGCCGAAGTAAACAATGACGGAGTGACACTGGCGGACAATTGGGACAAGGAGAGAGAAGGGCAATAAAGGAAAATAAAAAAACAAATACATTCACACCGACTCATCCTCCAAATAAACATGCAAGGACAATGATGTAAAGCGTAGGAGGTCGCTCATCCAATTACCCCAGCAGCATGGAAAGCCGTTTTGAGCAGTTAGTTGACAGACTGTAGGAGTAGGATCTTTGTCCGCTAGTGCCCTTATTAAACGACTAGCGCGCTGACTTTCTCCATCCGTCTGTGTGTGTGTGTGTGTGTGTGTGTGTGTGTGTGTGTGTGTGTGTGTGTGTGTGTATGAGTGAACATAACTTACATTTGTATTTCTCCTCGAGGTGGCCCTTGCAGAGAGACAGCAAGCCGATCTTCATTGACATGACACGGATCTTCCCGCTTCGACCACTTTTAAAATCAACACAAGAATCAATGAGACGTGGAAAAAAAAATCATATCAATTTATACTAACAAGAGAAACATGATTCATTCATGTGGAGCTGATCCATATTAGGAAGGTGTGGTTTTGGAGGTCTATGGTCTACTGCAACCTTATTATCAGACCCATTTTCCTACCGTGCTCTGAGATTTTTTTTAATTTTTTTTTTTTATTTTAATGACAGCACCTCAGAAGTATTTGTGTCTTTTGGATAACAGCTTTTGTTTCTAACTATGCATTCAAACATACGTGTCGTAGACATTGAGCAGCCAGTTGAGACACATGTCGACGCAGAGGGGCACGTTGACCAGGTCTTTGTGCTCCTGCTCCAGGCCGTCGTAGATGGTCGTCAGGCAGTTGATGACGTCCGGGACGGACATCAACTGGTTGTTGTTGGTCAACTTGTGCTGCGCAAAAGTGTTCTGGGCCACGTTCAGGTCCAGAAGGTCCACTGCAGATGGAGGACATGTGATGAGTCTGATAAAATACACGATGAACTTTCGAGCAGCGGTGCTGAGTGACATTTGAGAAACAGGACAAGGAGCTAAAAAGTGGCCCACCGTGTTCATAGAAGCATATCGGAGTGTGAATAGTGAGAGAACAGATGGATCATCGTGATTAATTATTGATATGATGGAAATTAACCAGTCAGTTTCCACAAATATAATTTGCTGGTGACATAATCTTTTCACACACTTTTTTTTTTTTTTTTAATAAAGCATGGGGGAAAAAAGATGAAAAGGCAGAATTGGGGCTTCTCATAAAAGTTTAGACACAAATTTTTCGGCTTTACGATTTCACCTCTGCTCATTAACTGTGATAAGTTCTGGCTTCCAGTTTTAGCAAATCGTGCTTGGCTTCCAAATGGAATGCGCTAATAGGGGAATTAATCAAACATGCCATATTTTCATGAGCATACGGCGCACCGTGTTAAAAGGTGCAGTCTCGGTTATGACGCAGGCATGGTAAAACACACGCTAGCTTGAAAAAAATAGGGTAGCATGCATGTACGCTAGCATATGTTTTTAAAAGGCAGCGGGAGCAAAACATTATTAGGTGCCCATTTTTTTTTTCCTTACATATGACTTTTAAGTGCCCCTTGTGGTCGTGGAAATTACCTTAATTGATTTGGAAAGTGAAGAAATTGAAAAGTGTTCATCAACTATCCGGTGAGTAGTTAGCCAGTTCGCTACGCCTGCGCCCTGAAAATGCATTTTTCAACTGCTTGTTTTAGAGTGCATGCAGTTGTATTAAATTTTCCGGTCCAGTACAGTTGCATTTAATACAAAGATTTAGGTACTTTTTTCATTGAGTTATTTTTTAATTTTATGTGCAATAAATTTGAATTGAATCAGTATTGAAGGTTATTTTAAATCTTCCTTACACACAGGGCCCGGATGATTAATCAGGTATCCAGCCTGTAATTTATCTTTATCTTTATTGCTGTAAGCAGTAAGGAACCCAAAAAGAAGTTATTTCATTGACGATATGTATTTTTTAATTAATTGGTGCAGTGAAAAAAAAAAAACCAACAAAACTGAATTATGTTAAGCTGTCAGTCAACATTTGTTATCACTGACATCTCCGTCAATTTCCTTGCCTTATGTTACCTCCCGTTCACCAAGCCGCACGCACCCACACACGGCACATTCGCTAGCTGCCACGCAAACTCGTTTGTGCCATTTGAGGCCCCCTGGCACCGACTTAACCCAATTAGACGTTTTATTGTATGCCTGTCATGCGCGTGTGCGTGCAAATGTGTCATTCACACACATTACATGAGCAGACATTTGCGCAAAAAAAAAAAAAAAAAGACGAAACACAAAAGAGACCCGTGGATCCGTGTATGGCATCAACATTGGGATTGGATTGCCTACGTTTGAAAACAATCAGGCTAATGCATCCCCCGCAACAAATAGCGACGCGCATTGAAAAACAACAGTGCAAAAATGATGGGTTTGTATCGTTGCAGCTCATTAGCGGTCCAGCACAAATACTCCGGCGCACCAGCTTGAAAGCGCACCTGCACTGAGGAGTTTTATCTTTTTGCAGGGGGAGACAGCTGGGTCGTCTCAAAGGGTGGGCGGCTATTATAACGTTGTCTCTCGGGTGAGTGATTGTTGAGACTGCACTGTGCTTCCTTACTCTACTACAGACATCGAGGTCTGTAACGACAAACTGAAAATTATGACAGCTCGGGACAAAGTGCTGTCACCCAGCAAACTGGACAAGAAATGTAAAATTAAAGAGTCAATGCGCTTTAGCTGGTCAACCTTTAGCTGGTTTTTGGTCTTGGTCCTGTCATGGTCTTGACTTACGTCGGTCTCGGCACCCAAAAATCTTGGTCTCTTTTGAGTTCTGGTCATTGGGCAAGCGCGTACAAACCTGCTACAGAGCACTCGTGCTTCCCCGTGTATATTTGCACAAATGTATCTTCAGTCCATCCATGCTGTGCTGTTCACTAAAGTAAAAGCAATTTGAACAGCGTATCCCCTTGTTGCGTCCACTTAGTAGCATTTGTGTGCGCGTGTGTGCGTGACTTACAGCACAGAGCTTTCTGCAGACGGCGAATCTTCATGGCGGTGCGGTACGCCGAGAATCTCACGTTGTTCAAGTCCGCTGTGAACAAAAAGCAGAATTTTACTGGGTCCATCATTGTGAAATGCAACAGACTGCCAGATTTGGTACTGATCTGACGAAAGAGGCATCAAATGAGCTTTTGTGTGACCTACCTAGCGACTGGTAGAGCTCCGTCATCTTGGGATGGTCCCAGCAGGTTGTTTGTGTCTGATGGCTGAAAACAGCAGAAGAAGAAAAAAAACGCCATCAGGATAAAGACCATGAGTGAGTGCCAGGTGCCACACGCAACGATCTTATTTCCAGCACAGCTCAATCCGGTAGACCGTTGGCCAGTAAGCCACAATGCAAGTGGACTGTAACGTCAAAAAGTGAAGACATCAGTGCGTTGGCAACAGTGGCTCGCACTATTTAGTGTGTTTGTGCTGCGAAAACTGTCATCGCTGTTTGAGTTCTCAAATACCGTGCGTGTGTCCAGTGAAAGCAGCTAAAAACCATACTCAACTGTCAATCAAATGCCACTCCCACAACCTGGGAAAATGGATGCTAACTTCTATAGCATCTTTATTTTGCTTACTTCAGAAGCGATATTATATCTTCTAAAATACATCCCATGTAGCTACAACGGGGCGCTCTAAAACAGCCACGCCAGCCTGACACACGGCCAACAACGAGGTGCACTATTATCCGAAGCAAAGATGCGTTTTCGTGGTGTGAGTATAGTTAGCTAGCTAACTCCATGTCGCGATTACTGAATGGTCTTTTAACTTCCTACGAAGCAAAGTCAAAGTTGACACAGCAAAATTAAAAAAAAAAAAAAACAACCAACCAAACAAACAAATGCAAATATTATAGCCGAAGTAAGCAAAAAAAGGTGGCGGTGTGCAAATAAGTTCCCACCGACGGAAACCCACCGCAGTGCTCCGTTTCCTGCTTGTTTATTACCCCATTACGAATAAAATAGAGCCCAATAAATAAACAGACTGCAGCGCGCAAGCTGCTTCTATTGCCGCTCATAATGACGGAGGCGCGCGGTAGCCCCGCTGCACAACAGCGCGGGCCGGCGTTTCTATCAACGCTGAGGGTGCAGCGCGTGTGTGTAAATCAGCAGCTCATGAATGCTGAAATGAGAACGGCGGCGCTGTCAGCGTGCGCTCACAAACTTTGACACAGATGCTACTAAGATGGTGGAGTTTCGATAAAACAGCAGGAAGCGCGTGTGGGGGGGCCCAAGGGGACAAATAGATTCTAAGGTGAGCAGTTCAGTTGGGAGAGCTGTCGTAAAAGTTGGAGTTATTTTCTTTTTTTACATGTCATTAAATGAGCAACGAGAGAAAGCAATTTCTGTCGAAATTGTGTATGAATGCTGAAGAGTTGACGATTAACTGGAATGGTTCTCGCAGTCATATTCTTTATCCTCAGTGAAGATAAATACTCATCTTGTCTTATACTGCCCCCAGGTGGCGAAGGCAGGCACACCAGAGGGAGCAGCGCAATGGCCATTGACTTGTAGTACAAAAAGTACAAAAACTGTACAATGGCAAGAACTGGCGGAATAATCATAAAGAAATATTGGGAGCGGAACAACATGTGCGAATAAGCTTAAGTGTGTTTAAAGTGTGTGGATCCCACCTATTACATATCCCAAAAAGTCACCAAAACCACAAAATGTGACACAATGAGATGATGAGTGCAGTTTCCTTTTATCTCCACCAATTTGAAATGAAAATGCACTGCCGGCAAGTGGTCCCGAAACAGCCCTTGTTGCTGCGTCAGGACCAGCGGGGGCCTTGTGAAAGGACAGAGCGATCCACTCTGGATGCTGACATTTTGTCTCCAGAGCCATTATTAAATGCCATCTCTCAATAAGCATCAACAAATCAAATGAGGTCTCTGGAGGCTAAAGTGCAGACTGCGGCAGGTAGATAGAAATGGTGCGTCATGGCAGTTTTTTTTTTTTTTTTTTTAAAGCAGCAGGAATATGATCAGCATTTTTGACATTTTTTAGTACGCACATCCACTTGCGGATAAAGGGTAAAAATGTACACCTTGATTTGTATGCCGATTTGCCGATTGCAATGGCAGAAGTTGTGAGAATTAGTGACAGGCGAACAGATGGACGGATACGTGGGGTATCCCTCACATAAAAAAAAAATACATATATATATATATTAAGTTGAAATTAGCGATGCGCGCACCCTGCTGAAGTAGAATTTACATCCCAGTTGAGTTCACGTCTGACGCATATGTGTGCTTTAAACCCCTGTTCCATTGATTTGTTTACGAAAGTGGGTTGCTGCAGGTTCAGCGGCCGGCCACATCTGTGTTCAAACGCTGCTGGCTTTTATCTCCCAACAGCTAAACACATTCCAATAATAACAAATCGACCGTCCGTCTGTTCCCCCGCCCCACCCCCCTCCGTGGGTCCAAACACAGTGTATGTGGCTCAAACGCTTCTTATTGATCTTTCCATTTAGAACCTCATAAAAGTTTAAAAAAAATCAGTGACATATACAATATGAAATAACCTTTTGGAACACTGCAGACGACGCTGGTAAACAAATAAAAAATACAAATGATAATACAATATGACACCAAAGAGTCAATGTATTAAGCACGGTGCAACTTCCAAGGCAGTGATTGCCATCCACCGTGTCATTAAATTAAATTAAATGTATTGAACTCTTCGCAGATCACTAATTGTTTTGTCAATATACAGTTGACATTACATGCAACAATTTTATCAAGAGTGACATTTCGAATATGAGCGAACTCGAGAGTGAAACAAATAAACTGCAGTCTGACTTGGGCAGTCAGCAGTTTAGGCGGTTGGATGATTTGTGGCTAACGAAGCTAAAAAAAGTAACTGCTCCTGTTTCACCTGATTTGACCAAAAAAAAAAAAAAAAAAAAAAAAGTGAATGGGAAGCAAGACAACAAGCTGAAATTGTGACTATCAGAGCGGCAAGAGATGCGCTTGCCACTGTCAAGCGGGTGTTATCTATTCACCAGGTAGACACGTCGAATCAGCAGAAAGACAACTGTTTTGCGGAACTGAGCTGAATATGACATGTCGGTGGAGGTCTTTGTTATAATGACTGTGCCCGAGAAATATTTCAGTGACAATGAGCTGTTTTTGAAATCACGTTTACTTTTTTTGCTTGTTTTTTTTAGTCCTTTTGCGATGCAAATTATGCACATTAAAGTAAAAACTGTAGAAAGTTAAAATAAACATATTCATTTGGCAAGTGTGTGTGTGTGTGTGGGGGGGGGGCATACATTTTCCCACATGCATTTGTGAGTCTCTGTTATGGCCCACTGAAAGCAAGGTTTAACGTTTTCATCATAATTTCAATACATATATTGGGTACAAACACAATAATGCATCAAACAAATTTTCAACTACATGTACTTTCTTATCTGCGGAGTCATCATGAGTCTTATGATTGAGTAAATTTACTTTATTTAATCTACGACTCTTGGCAGGTTCCACAAAATGGAGCCTTCTCCCTCCCTAAACACTGAACCACATTATCCATTTTTGAAAACGGTTTCCAAGCTACAAAGGGTTGCTTAACTTCCCCGTCTCCGCTAACAGTAAATCAGTGCAATTTCCTGAGATAAATATTTGCATGTAGGGTGTATATGTAGGTCAGTGCTTCTGTTGGGCCTCGCTGCATCTGACCAACAACCACTGGAGTAGAGCAACTATTTTAGCCAACGACGTCACACATTTTTCTGGACACTTACTTGATATAATATGGAACTTTATTTTGAGACACCGCCCGCTGCCAGGGGAGCTGCACAGAAGCTACGGAGACAAGGAAAGACCATACTGAGAGACTCAAGTAAAAAATAAAAACAAAAACATGCATGAAATAGAGGAAGTGGGTGGGCGGGGCTTTCCAGGCAGATGGAAGAAATAGGAGCGTATAAAATATAGTTGGCGGACCTGTATAACCGAGGCGACTCATGTGCCCAGAAATGTCTCAGCTATCCGAAGCTGCATTAAGACTATTAGCAGTGACTATTAACGCTTGGTTGATTCCCACAATCCCTTTTCTGACAAAGGCATCGAGGAGCACACCAATGAAAAGACATAAAAAAAAAAAAAAAAAATTAAAAAAAATAGAGATTGGGAGATAAGAGCAAGGCTTTATTGATCCCTGAGTGGAAATTATGCTACCGGGGTAATGAGTGTCCATGTGAGATGATAGATGCTTTCTGGTTTGTCTGTCCTTGAAATAATGTCACAACTGAGGGCCAATACTGCATTAAAAAAAAACAACAACAACAGAAAAACAACCCATAGGTGATTTCAAGCGAATGTTTGCTACTCACTGGATAAGAAATGCTGAGAGGAGGGGCCAAAGTCTCGGTGGGCTTCCTGGAGGAGCTTCAGTCTGTCCTCCACTGCCACCTGCAACAAGTCGTCCAAAAGATTATTCAAAAACACAGCCCAATTTTGAATCGCACTGATGCAAAATGGCCGAGGAAGCTTAAGTTCAAACAGGTAAGCGTTCAAATGACTTTATAGGACAGCGGATCTTCGGTTTTCATCTGCCCTTGTAATGAATGGTATGACTCAAATTTTCAGCAATTATTTTTCCTTGATGCGTGCGACTGGTATGTTGCGAAAATAGCCTTGCAGTACCAAGCTGTGATTATACATAGGGTGTGTTTGGAACAAAAGGTGAAATGGGAGGGATGAGTAAAGAAAGAGGAAAAAAAAAAGACGAGACAAGTCCAGATAAAATACTGTAGCATGATGGGAAAAGTGTTTAATATGGCCGCATCCACTGAGGCTGCGCTGTACCTGTAGTAGCTTCCACCTCATGTTGAGCTGGTCCAGCTGCCTGGAGGCAGTGGAGGACAGCTGGATGTCCAGCGGAGTCAGCTCTGCAGAAAGCTCATTTACTATCTGGACATCCTGACGCAGTGGGCTGATTTCTTCCCGGAACACCTTAAAAAAAAAAAAAAAAAAAAAGGCGGGGAAATGGGTTGATGGTATACAAATAAATGCAACCCTTCTTCTTTTAATTCTTGATGTAGCCCATGTGCTAAGAGATGGCTTGACTCATGCTTACCAGAGTCTGGTCGATGTGGTCCTGCAGGGAGTCGATGAGCAGGTCACCCACAGGCTGCCAACCGGACTTGGCGTCCTCGGCCCGAGTCAGCCGCAGATCCAGTTGGTCCATGGAGCTCTGGAGCTCCTGCAATCGCTCCAGGGCTTGCTCCACCTGATTCTGCCAGCCTCCCGCGTGGCCCCTCAGACGCTCCCAGCGTTCCCTCACCTCGCCCGTCTGCTTGCGAATGGCCCGAGCCAGGCCACGGGCCTTTTGCTCCGGGCTGAGGTCTGGAAGGAATCAGGGAAATAATAAACAAAACAGTCTCAGTGTTATTTATTGGAGGATGCTTGCTGGATGAACATTGTGGTCTTCTACAACCGTTTTCCCGAGCTTGGAATTTGCTCTCCGGGGTGCTGATTGAATTGAGTACGAGCGTCTTTAGTCATGCAGACAACAATCAAAAGCCTAATAAGAGTGGAGGGAACGTACACAATTAGCTGTTTACCACTGTGCCACATCCCAACGACTTTGATTAAACAGGGCGCATACACTCCGATGTCAACTCATCGGTTGATAAAAGCGGACGATACTTTGATCGCGGCGTCAAGAGAGCACAGCGATGTCTGTCGACGCTCTGAAGTCGTGCCACACCCCCATCGCGCCCTCTTGGCTCTCTTTAATTATTAACGGGGAAAAAAAAAACGAGGATCGTTTGAAGGCAAATGTGGTGACTGGACAAAATCTGAATAATTTAAGAGTGGTAACCTTAACGAGTTGATGCATTTTTTAATTTCCCAATGGGGTCAGGATTGCCGGTAATGCTGACATATAAACGGATTGTGTTGCAAAACTTAAGTGCATCTTGCTTGCTTTGGATATCTAACTTCGTTAAAGGATTGATCGGTTTGAGAAAAAAAAAAGAAAAAAAAAACACTGGCTCCATGACTTCAGTCATCAAATTCAATTCTGTGTGCTGTGCTGTCAACACAATGTTATCCGGCTTCAAGAACGCTCCTGCCCAAGTACCAACCTGTCTTGGGCTGCAGGTTCTTGCGTGGTTCTCCTGGACCTTCAATGGGCTGCTCTGCCAGAAACATGCGAGCTTGCTCCAATGTGCTGATCACCAGCTGCTCGCGTTCTTTCAGTTCCGACTGCAGCATCTAAAAAAAAAAGAGGAACGCATTCAAAGGCGTTCAAGGAGTTCTATCAAAAACAACAAATCGCAGTTGCTTTTTTTGAGTCGAATGAAACACTTGCATATGGCCTTCGTGGTCGCAATGATTGGCCCCAATGATGGACGCTCAATCTTTGAGAGAAGTAGGGGAGGGGGGACGTTGCCATATAACAGTATAATTATTTTCGTTTTAATACACGCAAGACCCGGCGGGACTTCATTGCTTATCGGAGTGTGTGATTACTTTACGAGGCGGCCGTGTAAGTGTGAGACGCTGCCAGGCAGCTTGACGAAACGGGACGAGCTTGCTCGGTAACGCCACTTTCACGGTTTTTAAAACATGTACACAAGAAACAAGGCAGATTTTTTTTAACTCATTCAGTACCAGCCAATTCTGGACCAAGTCTGAAAAGATGTTTTAAAACGTCTTTGGGAGTGAATGAGTTAACTGCGAAATTTCAAAGTTCAAGACAATATTAAAAGGCGCGAAACAAACACTCATCACCTCAACAAATCCCACTGCCCTCTCCCTAAATTTTGAATAGATCAGAAAGAGTAGACTTTTTTTTACAAACATTTGTAACAGTTAAAAAAAAATCCAAGATAAAAACTTTTAAGACAACATAATAACTTGCCATTTTTTCTTGTAATACTCTACCACATATCAGACTTAAAAAAAAATTTGATCGTTACGAGTGATTCTTTTTTCCAAATAAGCAACTCGCGACAAATCTAGATTTTTTTTAAACAACCCCACTCCAAAAAATATTTTTTTAATGCGAAAAAACTGAAAAAAAATTATTTCCTAAAACTACCTCATATGGATAATTTAGCTGTATATCATTTGTGCAACACAACTAATGGATTATTTCCGAGGTGACTTAAGGTACACGTCCCTCCAGCTCTCCCACGTAACAAATATCTTCTGCCGAAATGGGATGTGAAGACAAAAAAAGCAAAGAATAGCTCAGCAGGAGTGTGGGAATTTAAATCCCCTCCACCGGTCTTGAAACGTGTCCTCTTTTGTTCCCGTTTCCTGCACGTGTTCACTCAAGGCAGCCTAAGTTCACGGAGACTGCCAACAAGTGAACAAACGCAGGCCTCGCGCTGAAAGAAGGCACGGGGGGGACGAATAAATGAAACCGCCGGGTTTGCTAATAAATGATTTTTGCCCTTATCCTCCGGTTCCTGCGCAGGAAGCGTAGTGGACGGATAGCAAGAGAGATAAATCGAGGGCAACTTCCTCGACGGGCAGTAGTCGTGCGAAGAGGCCAAAGGAGGTTTTTGGGAGGATAGGAAAACGAAATGAGAGGGGAGATAAAGTGTGAAGGACGGCTTATTCAAAGATCCATTGGATTATTCATTTCATTTCAGCGCAATGCTCTTGGCTGCGCTGATTGTCCACTTGGCATTTCCTCAAACTAATAAAACTAAAGAATGGAGCATTTGTGAAATTAAAAACAAATCTGCTTGACAAACAAACCAGTCAAAATGAAATAAAAGCCAATGCAAATGAAAAATCCAAAACGATTCCTAATGCTGATCCTCACAGAGCCAAAGCACGTGAGCCCTCAATGACATCATCATCAAACATTTTTTTTGTGTGTGTGCGTGCGTTCAAAAACTTTTGGCGTGTGTTCAAAAAGTGAGGCGGGGTATATGGGCTCACTGCAAGTCTTTTCAATTAAAACAAATTTAAATTTCACGAATGTAAAAAAATATATCAACTACATATTTAAGCCAATGTGCTTTTCATTTCGCTGACAAATCCCATCTGGCCGGTAAAAGATAAGACACGGCTGGCTATGTTCAAGATAAAAGGCTGCTCTTCTTTTCATCACTTATCACAATTGGACTCAGCATGTGTGCTTTAAGTACAAAAAAAATAAAAAAAGAAATGTCTGACTTTTAGTGAGGATGACCTTGGTCGACATTGTGCAATTGTGGCCACCGCACTGAATGATTGAGGCTTGGTGATGTTTGCTCGCGCGGCCAAAGGTGCACAGCAAAGAGTGTTATCGCTAAACGCCGACGGCCAATTCTATCTCATACCCGCTACAACACAATAAGCACAGCTCAAGCCCTCATTTTCCTCCCTTAGACTTAAAGGGGACATCAAAATAGTGGAAAGGGGGGGAAATAGATGACATGCATTTAAGGGCAACTTTACAAACAATTTATCACGAATGTGAATTTGGCAAAACTCCAGGGGAGTGGTGAAATTTGGAAGGTGACAACAATTTTCATGAACAGTATCGAGCTAAACGTGCTAGACGAAAGAATTACTAAGTACAGTTCAGTTGTATTTAACTTTTTTTAAAGTATGTTTGAATGTCATTTTTAAGACGTTTTATTTTGATAATTTCTTTTTACTTTCAACTGCACTGCTTTCACGCTATTAGGAATACAACTACCGGTATATAAAAGTCAAGTCAATATTGTGTTTAAAAAAAAAAAAAACAATCACTCCAGAAGTCTGGATTTGGTAATGGCACGTTTTTTTTAAGCGCTGAAAGACGCAAAAATCAAAGCAGCACTTTACCTTTAATAACAAGCGATATCACAGCTAGCCGGTCAGCGGCTAGCGCTCACGTCTAACGACGTGAAGCGATCGATTCCCTTGTCGACGTAGTTTTAGATCTTAATTTTAGGTCATTCTATAAACCTTCAAGCTCTGCCATTATTAATGATTATAGTATAATAAGTGTAATATAATGTTCGTCAAAAGGGAAGTAACACATCATTTTTTAGTTTTATTTTTTGGCACAGGCCAGCAATATTTCTGCAATAACAGTGTGGGGGTCATCCATTGTTTCTCCTAATGTGTTCTTGAATGTGACTGATGATTCTCTCATGATGTTAAGGTGAAAAGAGCCAAGCACATTTATTGTTCTCTGCTGGAAGCTGGCCTGCGCTCGACGACATCCTTTGTAGGCCATCGCACAGTATCTCAGAAAATGAAGAATGACCCGTCCAGAATTGGAAATGTTTTGTTAAATGTTTTTATGAGGTAACACTGAAAGTAGTGAAGTGGAACGGTGTAAATTTAATGCCGCCCCCACACCCAAAAAATAAAACGCAACTCAATCCACTAGTCTATACTGCTAGCAACAAAAGTGAGTCAGCCCCCGAGCGCAAATGACGTTGAGTTTCCTTATTATTCCTTATTCTTTTGTCTATAATGATTTATTGTTTTACAATATGAGTGAACTGCCTCTTTAATACTTGTATTATTTTATGAGTTCAACAGTTTTTATGTTAAGTTTATGAAACAGTAGAAAAAAAAATTTGAACCTCGCCCCAAAAAAAAAAAAAAAAAAAAGGCTATTTTCCAATCTATCATCTATTTCTAAATATATATGAATTGTGAAAGGCATACGCCGAGTGTCATTTCAGTCCGAGATCGTTTAACATCACACCTGGACATAAATCGAACCAGCGCACAGTCCGTGCGCATGAGGCGTGACGTCTAACAATGTCAGGACTAGCGCGAGATCAGCGAGGGTAGCGGTCGGCGTAGTAAACGGTCTCCGCAGGCTGCCTCATCCATCTGAATGGAATTCCATGTCAACAATATCCAGCGCTTGTAATAAATAACCGCAACGGCTGACAGCCACCAATGAAGACAAACTTACAACCTGGGTCAGCATTGATTACTTAAGACACAAGGCAATGATACCGTGCGGGGACGACGGCTTGAACGCAACAATGATCCGGCGGATAAACTGACGCGGTTGATTATTTAAATGCATTCAAACAAGTTTTATATGCCCCGTTGGCTGCTGATTGCTTGCAATAAAACTGTCGATTAATAACCAAGGACGCACAAAACATTTTGTTTATTTTCGTAGGGGACTGCCGCAAACTGCAATTCATCTTAACGCGACGTGCCTGACCACTTGCCTGATGATGAATAATAACACTGGCGATTACCGCTCGGTGATTTACAAGCACGGGATGTTCCTGCGGTTTCAGCAAACGGCTAAGCTGCCTGCGTTTTTTTTTTTTTTTTATTGATGAAAACGACAAAATGGAGCTTTCACACAGTGAGCCTCCGCTTAACGTGATTTTATTTTATGGGTTTTTTTAAATTCTGGAAAGTTGCCCTTCGCCATATGGCGGTTCACTTTTGGCGGTCTCCCTTGATCCCAGATTTTTTTTTAATCATACTTAACTCATTTTATATCACAGATCTTACGCAGCAATAAGTGCGAGCCAGGAGGAAAGAGTGCCAAAAAGACAGAATGTCGAAAGTTTGCGATCATTTCACACTTAAAATAGTAACTCTTTCAATGCCAGCCATTTTCACCAAAAAAAATGAATAAAAAATAAAGAGAACCCTCTTGAGTGCCAGACATTTTAAGGCATTCTTTCAAGGCTTTTGTTTTATGAGTGTAAAACACGAAAGTGCCAAAGGAAAGATAACACTCTCTTCTTTTATCACAACAAAAGACTGTTTCGACCTTACTCCATTTTTTGGCGTAAGCAGAAAAAAAATATAAAATCAAATAAAAAAATAAAAAAACAGAAAATGAGCCTTTGCTGAAAAGATACATCTCATGCACAGCAGTGACTTTGATGCGAATTATTCGTGACGCCTCAAATATCCGAACAGTTCTTTTCTCCTCTTTGCTTGTGGAGGCTCTCAGTCGTACAGGAAAGTTCCATCGTAGAAAGGGTTCTGTCAGTCGTCATCTGTACCTGTGGGTAAAAAACAAAAACAAAAAACAAAAAACAAAAAAGGACGTTTCGCTTCTCTCACAGAAGCTTCGTCAGCGGTAGACAACCCTGAAGTCTCCGTGAAGACTCCGGGAAGTTGCTCTGCGCTAAAAGGCTGAGCGTGGCCTGTTTGAGGACTGGGTGGGGATGGTTAGTCACGCCCCTATGGTGAAGAGGCCCATTGGTTTCTAAACTCCCTATCATTGGGTCTTGATTAGGCCTATTGTTTGGGCTAAGGCTGAATAGCTACTTTCAGTTAGCCTGATCAGCATGTCTATGTCCCTTACTGGTCAACAAGTTATTGTAAATAGGAGACAGGTTAAATCTGATACCTCCTTCACGGTTCAGAGAGGGTGAAAATTTTTTAACTTTTCTCCTCTTAAAATATCACCACCAACAATGAAAATGCACATTTGATGGCAAAATAATGTATTTACAAAAGAATCCCAGGTGCAACAATTTTACATTTGGCAAACTTTACAAAGTATTTGGTAGTAGTAGTATTTCATAGTGTGTGCACGCGTGCCATAACCTCCATCATGCTTTCCCTCTTTTGTGAAACTCCTCTGCAGTCGATTTAACGTGACAAAACACGCAAGCATTTCCAAGGGTCCGCCATGTTTTTGGAGCTTACGTTATTGTGCCAAATGGTGAGCTCATCCAAGAGAATGCTGCCATTTGCTGGCCATAGTTATTATTTATTTACTTGCTTTCGCAGATGGATGATAAACCCGTCGCTGGCCAAGACTTTTCTCCGCCCATTCGCATTAAAAAAAAAAAAAAAAAAAAAAAAATGGCGCGACTCGCTAAGAATGCCATGGACGTCCTTTCACATCAATGACGCTCAAAGAGTTTAGTGCTATGTGTCACTGCAAAGCAGAACTAGCTTACATAAGTGCTCGGTTACGGAAAGGCAAACGTCGCTAGCTAATTCAAAATAGCCCACGAACACAAGTTAGAGCGAACCGTAATCTTTCCACAAGTGGTCAAGGATAATCACAGCCGCCGAGCACTTTCAATCTCTTGAATAAACAAACTGTAAGGTCATAAAACACATAAGCATTTATTTACAAGCTGCCTCTGGCCACAACTCACACTAAATAAGTCAACACGCATTAGCCAGTTCACGGCCACCCGACTCTAGATTCTCATTCGCTGACTCCCCTGTCACTCATCAGGCCGGCTCTTGATGTGGATGTAAAGAGCCATCATGCCAACAAAGCCACAAGAGGCGGTGTTTGTGACATGAGGGATAAGGAAAAGGACAATGGTAATGACGTGGAAGAAAGAGAAAATACAAAAGGAAATGATTTCGAGACGCACTGTGAGATGGAAACAAACCGTGCAGTGGTTGTGCTGCTGCAGCAGGGTGGGCACGTCTCCACCGACAGGCATCTGCTTGGCGAGCTCCTCGTCCTGCATGCAGATCCACCTCCAGAGCTCCTCCAGGAGGCTCAGCAGACGAGACCAGCGCTCGGCACTGGCTTCCAGGTGGGCTCTGCCAAGGCGAAGCGTCCATTTAGAAATATTTGCATCAAGTTTACGGCACGCACGTTTATTTGACTTTCTTGGGCCACATAAAATTATGCGGCGGGCCAGGAACAGCCCCCCGGGCCTTGAGTTTGAAACCCCTGATCAAAGGCATTTCACGTTCGCAGTCAGCATTAAGCTAGCAGACTTTGCTCAGACAAATGACATGGTCTAGTTGAGCATTTTCATTTTTAAAGACAAAAGCGAATGAATCATTGTCTGCTATTTCAGTTTTACAGTCACCTTTAATTTAACTGGGCGTGAATAATAAGTAGCTTGAAGCTTATTTGGAGAATTGTGCAAAGTGACTGGTGCAAAGGAAAACTTTTAAATTGTCCCTAGGTGTGAGTGTGAGCGCGGATGGATGTTGGTCTCTGTGTGCCCTGCGATTGACTGGCAACCAGTTCGGAGTGTACCCCGCCTGCTGCCCGAAGACAGCTGGGATAGGCTCGAGCACTCCCGCAACCCTCGTGGGGATAAGCGGATTAGATAATGGATGGATGGAAATATGTAAGTGGGACATTTAGCCTCGAGGCTACAAGTGGCATGCAAATCCGGAAGAACCCTCCAGAGCAACACACAGCACGGTTTTTGTGTGGATCTGTCAGAAATCAGATGATTGCATTTTTTTGTTTTTGTTTGTTTCAGTTGGTGCAAAAGTTCTCGTCAGTATTCCTTCCTGTCTTTGTTCCACTGCTTCTCTCTCCGCTCCATCCTGTTTCTCGACGCATCTCCATCTGGCTCTTGTCACCTTTAATTCCACCTACACTTTCTTCACAGCCCTATCAACCAAGAAATATGGTGCTTTTTTTTTTTCCCTTCCTTTGGCGAGGTCGCGACAGACCGAGGTCTATCAGTGTCATCGGAAGTTTATGTGGCTCTCGGCTGCCTCTGGAGATACATACATATTTCACCCCGAAGCGGCACGAAAGACATGCTGAAACACTGGGCGTGTTGTCTCTGATGGACAACGCCCCGAGACCGCATAAATATTTCACAGGCATGCGAGTCACGCTCGATAAAGAAAAAGGCCATCTGTGTGTGGTCCTTTATGGACTGAGCTCAGTGAATGGGGAGATGTCTTTGGGGTCATATATTATGAATAACATGCTAAGTGGAGGGGTAATGGAGTTGCGAGGTCTTTGACTCTGGCCTAATGTTAAGGCTGACGTTTCTTAAGTAACCTCCAGGAAGCCTGGATAAGTTTAAATTAATTTAGATGTATTTATACTTCAATATATAATGTAATACTTTTGAAAGAGTAAATAACTAGGGGCACCTTCAGCACTTGGCCTACCACTGAGGATCGTTACCAGATTACCTATTATGAAATTATGAAATACGATATTTATTGCGAGTGATTAGAAATATTATATATATATA